CAACACACACACTCGACACACCCGCACTACACACACACACACACACATATAATATACACACACACACACTACACACTATCACACATCCACCCACACACACAACACACACACACACACACTACACACACACACCACAACACACAACACACGACTCGTCTGTTCATTATTATGGACACAATACTAAGAATAGAAGGCTAGGGCGGTTTGCAATTTAGTTCATTAAGCGTCGTAAGGTTTAGTCATAGGTGCGTGGTCTAGGTCATAATTTAAGTTTATTAAGCGTCGTGTTTGTAGCCATTGACAAACGATGTGGCCACACGACGTTCGTGAATATTTTATATGCACGGTTCATTGACTGCTTGAACATGTGTCGCGCTGTGCGTGCATGTATTCGCCTTGCAAGCGTGCGTATGTGAAATGTTATTTAATGACGATATGCATATATTATAGAAAAACCATCCGTGATGCTGTTAGCAGTGTGTGTCGGACTGTGACTTGCTGAACATCGGTTTAGAGCGCAGATGTCAGGAAGCATGGCGAGTTCGTGTGTGATATACGTAAAATTTCGTGATGCTTAATTTGATACTATAATTCTTTGTGCGAAAAAATAAATCAAAAGATTAAATCTACTTACAGTTTACCCTCGTTTTTCCTCTGGACTATCTATTGATTGTTATTTTCATGCATTAATAGTGATAAAATCTGTAGTATACGGACTATAGATAACCTAGAATTTCATGAGTATATTATCAGCGAATGAGTAATAATAGTGTGAGTGAAATAATAACTCGAATTATGCACTCCTTCCGATATTTATGATAAGAAAGTGCATAAATAATGTAATATATTTACGATTTAAGTTTTTAATGAGCACACATTCTACGTTTGTCATAAAAAAAAACTATGCGCTTTTTTTCCGGAAAAAAAATTAAAATATATTGACCGCTGAGATGCACCCCGGCGATTGTGCTGCCACACTGAAAAAGTTGCGCTTTTTTTTGCCGGATTTATTCTTGCATCACGTTACAGACGAGAGCTAATCACAAAAGTACAGATATATTTATACCGAACGGCTATTTAACCGTATGATTTTTTATTTTAGAACAAATTCGTCATGAAGCAGCTAATTTAGATTAACAGACTGCCCACGTTATCTGTAAGCATCGATCAAGTAGTTCTTAAGCAACAAGAGTTGTTTGCTGGTGTACTATTTACTCCTCAAGAAGAAAATTACCTACTGAAATATTGTTATTTGTAGGATGCGTCTGTTGATAAATAAATAATCAAATTAATAAAATGAATTAAATTAATAAAGATGCGTCCATAATAACGAATATATTTACGATCAATTACTTGAGCCGGACAGGCTGACAGCACGTGTGCATGGTAAAATCTGCCATCTACATGCCTTCACCTCGCTAGCGTCAATCGCGCAACGATTCCAGCTACTGCTAATGTATGGAGCAATGGCGCTGCGACGTCGGTCGCGTTGGACTGCCAAGATAATATTCTTTGGCCGTTTTTATACGTTTCCAAAGTGTCAGCCGGGCAGGCTGAGGAGCACGTTTGCTGCAGTTGGGTAAAATCTGATCTTACATTGCTCACTCGTCGCAGCATCGCGCCAACGCATTTCCAGCTATGCATATAACGTTGGTGCAGAATGGCGCTGCCAACGTCGGGTCGCCGCTTAACTGCCCAAGTAATATCTTCGGTCGTTCTTATACGTTCAAGTGGAGCCGGGTGCAGCTGCATGGACACGCACGCTGTGTGCAAAGGGCTAACGCCAGGTCTGCAGTCGGGCAATATCTTGCTACAATCAGCTTTTCGCGGGATTTAATTGTCATGTTGTTGTGCCATGGTTTTATTAACGTGATTCACAAGCGAATGCTGTAATCGAGTCCTTCCAAAACCTTTTCCATGGTGTGAGCTCTGGTAAAGCACGACACGTTGGGTTGTGTTGTATTTCTTTGCTCGTTCTCGCCAATATTCAGTAGATAAACTTAGAAAATTGGTCACATACGTGCCAGTCCATATTTGATCCTGGCATCGTCCTAGATGAATTCGTTCATGAATATCTAGCCACACGGAAACGTCGAGTATAGATCCATGTTTTAATCTACTCGAGCCACGGGAGAGTGAGACATATGATCGAGTTCTTTGAGGCAGTTCATGCTCATGGGTCTATGTCCCCAGGGTACTGCCGAACGTTGACCCTGCCCGCTAACTATCTGATATCGGTTAGGTTAGGGTTTCAGGCGTTTAGGTTACGGGTTAGGCAGTTAGGCGTAGAGCGACTCCTATAGACTCGTTAGTGGAGTAAGGCCGACGGTACCGGGCCGGCATATAGATCACGTAGCCAGGGTACGTTCCGGTATACCGGACCGTACCCAGGGGTACGTTCCGGCAGTACCCTGGGGGATATAGACCCTCTCAGCGACAGTCATGGTTGCTGCGACACAAACAAACCTAATGAGTTGCGTAAACATACGGACTCTACGTAACAATAGCACATTAGAACTTAACAGAACACGTGCACCTGATCAGGCCAACGGAAGTTCGCCGGCCTTGAAAGTGTGACGTCACAGTTATTGTTACCTAATCCAAGGATCCACATAAAGTATAAAAATAATATATATATATATATATATATATATATAATATATAAATATAATTATATATATTTATTGTTCTTGTGTGTATCCTTGCCTAATCGACTCTCGCGCCCGATATCAACCGGCAAAGACATTGATCTGTCGTAATAATTATATTATGCGCGTTGATCGCTGCCCTCCTTTATATAGAGCTTTTGGAATTCCCTTTCTTTGTCAAATTGTCACGAACTTGTTATTTAATTATTCTGGTACGTGGTCGATTTTGTGCACGCGGTTCAATAAGCTATTCCGCCTCTTCAGCTTATTCCGTAGAACAAAACGGTTCCGTGCACGAGCGGTCTATAATAGATGGCAGACATAGAACTACCATCTATAGGGTGGTCTACTGATGAGTCTAATATTTGCAACGATTGTATATAGTCGCCATGTACATAACAGCTGTTATTAGAATGGTATTTAAAAAGTGAATTTCGTATCACAGAGCTATTACTTTTGTGATTCATGCACAGTGACGTACGAGCGATGACATCGTGTGTTATAAATGAGTATTTGAACGGCGTTTAATTACGTGGAATTATTACTGTATTCGATATAGAGCCAATGCATGAATACCAAACCGCTGGTAATAAATATATTCGTGTTTATTTATTTATCAACATATAATATTATTGGAACGACCGCTAGGTTCCTGTGCGTGTAGCCTATTTACTCTTACTCGGTCGTATATTTCACATATAATCTATGTGTTTATTTAGGATTAATAATTAATAATATATTATATATACTATCAGTAGAGTTTATTTGTTTAATCATAGTTTATTTATTTAACCTTTGGTGGTTATCAGAAATCCTAAATGCATAACGATTCTAATACGATGTATATCAGGGGCGTCGTGGTATCCAGAGGTTGCGGTAAACCAGTTTCCATAGTTCTCAGTCCCAAGCTAGGGGGTCCGGGGGCACGCTCCCCCGGGAATTAAAAAAAAAAAAAAGGCTATATTGGTTCATTCTGGTGATTTTTGAGGTCGTCAATTCTGAGATACCCAGCCTGTGACCGGTTTCTGGAAACCGCGTGCCAAACCGGCCTAAATCCGCACCTGTATACTTACATCAGATATACATAGATAACTACTTCTAATCACAGGAGCGCGTAGTGGCCCCCTCCAAAGAGTGCCACTGCCAAAAAATATGTATCAATGCGGGGCCGGTCTTGGGGGTACTCGCCCAGAAAAATTTTGAAATGCTATGCGCCTGTGAAATGGCAGTTTCCTGCATTTTCAGGCTATGTGAAAAGCAACCAATTTCTGATCATTTTAAAAGCGTCAACATTGTAAATTTCAAAAGAGGAATGTAGCCTAAAGCTGATGTTGACTAAAGTATCTCTACAATATATATTCCATGAGTTATGGATAACTAATAAACATTATTTACAAAAATTGTATATACTATCAGTACATAATATGGAAATAAGCCTATTTCAGATCTGCATTTATACTTTCAGCGTATGTACATCTGTATGGTTTTGATAGTCTTGAATTTGAATAGGCACATTTGTCATATTAAGATATCACATTCCAGATTTATTTAAATAGTGCCACGGCAGTGCCGTGCTGCCGTGGCGGCCACTACGGCCCTGTAATATATCATATCATCTTATCGAGGGTTCCCCGAGTAAGCACGGCTTGATAATGGAGTTCATTTCAGCATTTTCTCTCATTATTTTACGAGATTCTAGACAGGTTTGTGAGCACGGCAGTAGATTGCGATATTTGATATGACTTATACTAGACACTTAGGATATGACACTAGGCCACTTAAAAAAAAAAAACCCTAAACCCTAACCTAAACCCTAAACCTAACCTAAACCCTAACCCTAAACCTAAAAAAAAAAAATTTAATTAATTAATAGTGACCTAGTAGTCATATCATATGCGCCATCTAACTCCGGTTGCGCGTTTGTGAGGGATAGGGTTTACAAAATGTTAAACTTGAACGTTATATCGATCACTTCGCCAAGTAAAAATATCGCGTTTTCTATTCAAATTAATCAAAAATGAAAAATCGATTAAATTAATGCTCTACCGTGTATTTACATTATATATTATTATTATTGATTATTATATTATTAGAGAAAAATCTCTACAAGCGACTTAATTCCGACTCATTTTTTCAGAGCGGTTCACAAATTACGAATCGAACACAAATAAACAAAGCTCGCTAAAACAACACATTTCGTTACACATTTTTATTTGCTATTATAAATGAAACACGCGCACGCGCACGCACAGGCACGCGCGCGCACCCATATATATTTATATAGTACAACCAATCGAACAGGCTACATATAATTTTAGGCATCGTGTGGTAGTAATATACGCTAAACCGTGTAAAACAAAAATACATATTACGGACGATACAAAACGGCGTCTCGGTATGGCGCCTGGAACTACTTCTTTCAGTGACTATACAGTCATTATTGCAATACAACATAGTAGCACTGTAGTCTAGGATAGTACACAGTAACTAGAGCTGCCAGGGTCTATGTCTCCCTGGGTACTGCCGGAACGTACCCTGGCCTTGTACGGTCCGGTATACTTCGGACACGTACCCTGGTACTATCATAATATGCCGGCCGTTAACCTTCGCCTTACTCCACTAACGCGGTCTAGGCGAGTCGCCTACGCCTACTCCTTAACTCTAACCATATTAGATGTTCACCAGGGTACGTTCCGGTATACCGGACCGTACCCAGGGTACGTTCCGGCAGTACCCAGGGAGACATAGACCCTATGAGCGTAACTAGAGCCCCCCTTACGAGACCAGCCTAACGATTTCTAGCTGCACGCGTATATTAGATATACGCGTTACCGAGACATCAACGTCTCGCAAACGAATCCAGTCAAACTTCCAAATTTTTCCGATGTATTACCTCTCGTTCGACACTTCGTCTGCCTTCTATTACATCATCGTCGTCGGTGTTAACCACTACCAGCATCTCGCGTGAGCAAAACATCCGAGACAATGTACACTTATCGTCCAGGGACCGAACGACCTGTAACATCTCTCTCTCTTCCTCTCCCTCTCCCTCTCCCTCTCCCTCTCGCGCGCTCTTTCTCTCTTCCTATATATATACATATATTCCATCATACTTGCTCTCTTGTTCATCTGTTTACAACTGTTCATCTGTTTACAGCTGTTCATCTGTTTACAGCTGTTCATCTGTTTACAGCTGTTCATCTGTTTACAGCTGTTTATCTGTTTACAGCTGTTTATCTGTTTACAACTGTTTATCTGTTTACAACTGTTCATCTGTTTACAGCTGTTCATCTGTTTACAGCTGTTCATCTGTTTACAGCTGTTCATCTGTTTACAGCTGTTCATCTGTTTACAGCTGTTCATCTGTTTACAACTGTTCATCTGTTTACAGCTGTTCATCTGTTTACAGCTGTTCATCTGTTTATCTCGGTCTTCGTTGCTGGACGGCTAAACCCCCCTAAACTCCCCAAGCCCCTCAATCTCCCCGCTTCGAACTCACGAAAGGTCTCTAGAAAAATATATATGCGACGTGAATGAACGCGACGACAACACCTTATGAAAGTAAGAAAGTATGAAGCCGGTGCCATGGCAACGTTGTACGCGGCAAGAACTTTCGTTGGCACAATGCCAAAAACATGGACGGTCGACGCGCACAGCACCACTCGCAGCTTGCATATAGAGGGCGCCACCAGCCGGACGGCGTCGGTCACGAACTGATGACGTCATCAAGATCAAAAGAGCACCCGCGAATCACAACCGCTTATTCGAATACGAACCGCCATATTAGCGAGAACGCGTCGATCGAGATATCGGCAACTATTATTATTCACAACACACACGTGCGATCATCAACGATCAATCAATCTTTCACAAACAACAACAACAACAACAAACAACAACAATGCCCTACAAATGCCCTTCGCGGAAAACTCTTATCTAACGCTCCCTGTGAACACCACCTAAACAACAAACACAAGTCCCTCCTCCTCCACCCCCCCTCCCCCTCCCCCCTACAGCACGAGGAAAAGTGGAGGTTGTCATCACCTGGGGAGGAGCAGTAGCAGAGGGAGGATACCACCTGATGAGGAGCACTAGCAGAGGGAGGATACCACCTGGGGAGGAGCAGTAGCAGAGGGAGGATACCTCCTGGGGAGGAGCAGTAGCAGAGGGAGGATACCACCTGGGGAGGAGCAGTAGCAGAGGGAGGATATCACCTGGGGAGGAGTAGTAGCAGAGGGAGGATACCACCTGGGGAGGAGCAGTAGCAGAGGGAGGATACCACCTGGGGAGGAGCAGTAGCAGAGGGAGAGACCACCTGGGGAGGAGCAGTAGCAGAGGGAGGAGGAGAGCTAGGGGAGGGAAGGGCAACACGAGGAGAGAAGGGCAACACGAGGAGGGAGGGGACATATATGTGGTGACTGCCCACCACACCGCACAAACGATGAACATTTCATATTTACATCCGGTTCGCTCGCTGCGACGACCATGACGGACCATGTCCGATCGATCATCCACAACCTTCTATTCTCAACTCGGCACCCTCCAACACGTACATGTACAAACATACACACACATGTATACACATCAAGAATCCATAATTTTCTCTACAGTCCAAATAGTGAAAGTTCTCTATTTATCTGGACTCTATTATGGACTCTTGATACACATACATGTAAGCGAAACACATACAAACACATAAACACGTGCATATACACA